AACAAAGGTGCAAATTAGGATGCCAACTTTGCCCTTTTTTATTTAAAGATGTTAACTTGTTTGTTTCTAATTAAAGATGCCAACTTTTAACTTATTCTATTTGAGAATATCATCTTTCAACTTTTTCTAATGAAGAATTAATTGGATGGAAACGCTGATATGGCAAATGGACTTTTAATTGAAATGTCAAAAGTTGGCATAGTTAAATAGAAAAAGTTGAAAATTGATATTCTTAAATAGAAAAAGTGTTTTTAAATAGAAAAAGTTAAAATTGGCATCCTTAAATAGCAAAAATTAAAAGTTGGTATTTTTATTTGAGAACTGGCAAACTTAACATACTTAAATAAAAAAAGTTCAAAATTGACATCTTTACTGGCACCTTTTCTTGAATTCATGTTGGTGGAGGTACCTCCAACATGAATAAATAGATTGATTTATATTTTCAACAACATAAACTACGTTGCTGATATTATATTTTCAGCAACGTAGCTTATGTTGCTAATACATTAGCAACAAAATTTTGGTTATTAATGTATTAATCACCAAGCCTTCTCGAACAAAACTTTTAGCAACCAAAGCCATATTGCTAAAGCACTTTCAACAACATGCTTCCATGTTATTGAAGATAGGGACTTTAGTAGTGTTTGTTTATATAAAAATGCTAACAACCACTTCTCTTCCCTACTGAAGACGATAGCAGAGTCCAAGACCACCTCCCCAGATCAATCAATTCCTTCTCCTCCATTGCAGGCGCTGACGACATCCCTCCCATCTTAAGTGTCTGTGATTTCTTCAAAGAATCCTATCATGAATGCAAGAAGCACTGGTACCTAGCTAGCCCTGCCATCTTCACCTTCATCTACCAATACTCCCTTGGCGCCGTCACTCAAGTCTTCGCTGGTCAAGTCAACACTCTCGCCCTCATTGCCGTCGAAAACTTAGTCATTGCTAGCTTCTCCTTTGGCCCCTTGGTATGTTACAGAATATTCATATTATAATTATGTTGATTTGGTTCACATTATAATTGATTGATATAATTAGAGTAATTGATTTTGTACCATAGAATATTCTCTTGTATATACCTATAAATAAATACCTTGTATATTCAGTGAAATAAAGAAAGAAAGAGTTTTTTTCTTCATGTATCTTTATATTTTTCTTCTTTTTATTTTTTTAATCATGGTATCAGAGCCTTGAGGCTTTTTTTTGTCTTTTATTTCACTAGTGTTGAATTTTGTAGCATGAACATATTGGGTTGGACAATCATGGTAGCTATGGGAATGAATGCAGCTGTAAGGTATGTTGTAAGAAGAAGTAAAACAATTGGGAAATGGAAGGTAAACCATATATTTCCAAATCTGATTTTAGTTTGGAAAAATGTGTAGTGTGAGAGTGTCGAATGAATGGGGAGCAGGGCATCCGAGAGCAGCAAAACTTTCATTGGTGGTGGCTGTAATCTCCTCATTCATGATTGGTTTCGCCATCTCAATTATTCTCTTAATCTTCCGGAAAGAGTATCCATACTTTATTCTCAAACGACATAGATGTTCAAGAACTTGTCAAGGAACTCACTCCATTGTTGGCTCTGTGCATTGCCATCAACTGCGTTCAACATGTACTCTCAGGTAACCAAGGACTGCCTTTGCCCCTGGTTGATAAAAAGAGAAACAACTCGAATATCAACTTCTAATCGATTGTTTTATTTTTAATCCTGCAGGAGTTGCAGTAGGAGCAGGATGGCAAGCTGTTGTTGCATATGTGAATATTGGGTGTTACTATATCTTTGGAGTTCCTCTTGGTCTCATATTACGTTACAAGCTTGACTTTGGTGTCAAGATAACTGCATTTCCTCCTCGTACTTTATATGTAAATTCCTCGAAACCTTGGTTTTGATTAGCATCTTAATTCTGTCTTTTGATGAGTTATCCAAGGGATTTGGTGTGGTATGTTATCAAGAACAAACTTGCAGACTATTGTCCTATTTGTTACGATTTATAAAACAAATTGGAACAAAGAAGTAAGTTGGAAAAGTTTTCTACTTATGAGTCATGAAAAAGATACGAATATCAACTCAATAATTTGATATGACAAACTGCAGGCTTCGATTGCTGAGGACAGGATTAAGAAATGGGGAGGTGAAGAAGGTTACAAAGAGAACAATGTGGGAATAAATGTTGAAGAGAAAGAAACATAATTAAGGGATCAAATGAATTTTTGAGCAAATTAGGTCTCAAGGGATGCGAGGGCACGGCACATCGTTGTTCTTCCATACCAAAAATAAGTAAAACAAGGAACCGCACCACGCGATGCTCAGCAAATTTAATAATTTTTTCAACATGTAAAATTGTGTTTTGTTTGTATATTAAGGTGTAGAAGGTTTGAAGTATTACTTTATTCTTCAATAAACAATTTTAAAATATGTGTGTTGTTGACAATTAACAAAGTATGTTACTTGATCTTTTAGACATTGAAAAATGTTTTGGAAAAATGCAACTTCATAATATGAAAGTATGTTGAGTAATATTTGGCTTAATTTCCTAATGCTATCCACAATCTAAGGAAAATGCAACATAAATGGCTTACTTTCCTAATGCAACATATATGGCTTAGTTTCCTAATACAACTCACAAATTAAGAAAACAATACCTCGTCTAAAGAAAATTAAAATTTATTAATGCCTTCTTATTTATGTGCATTTTCATGGCTACTTAAAGAAAACAATTCTACCAATGACTTAAATAACTTAATAATTATTTCCTTTCGCTAGAAGTAAGAGACATTAAGTTCGAGTCGCATGGCATGCAGGTAGAGTAAGAAAAGAGATAAAAGATGATTGCCTCACATTGTGCAATTAAAATAAATAAATATATATATAATTCTAACCAAAATTAATTAATATTAAGAACTAATATTTTGGTAAATCGTGGTGCCTTTATCTTGTCACTTGTGTAATTTAGAGGATGAGGAGGTGTGGAGTGTGGACCTCATGTAAATGTTAGAAAATTAATCTTGGGTAGTTACTAAATGTGTTCAATTTTTGTTGCTAGCATTCTAGTTGCTTATGGAAGGTTTGGCTGGGGTGGGTGCTCCAGCTAGTTGTTTTGGGTAACATGAGCATTCATATAATCTTTCTTCAAGTAAGAGCAATGCGTATTTGGGCACTGTAGTTAATATAGGATTGGTTAGTATTTTATTTACATACTACATAATTAAACAACGCTTACAAAAATGCTTTTAATGAATTAATAAAAAAAATCATTAAGAATATTCAAACAATTTTCTAAGAAGTCACAACATTTTAAAATGTCATGACATTTTAATTTTTATTTTTTTAATAAATAAATAAATATATAAAAACCTACTTATTTATAAGTTTTACACACCATATTTATAAAAAAATTTGAATTATTTACCTTTTTACTTTTAACTTTTAATGGTTGAAGAGCGTAAATTTTAATATATGCATCAAAGCGGACGAATTGTTCCAAATCATACCCAACCCAATAATCATCTAATCGATCAAAAGACTTAACATTGAAGAGTTTTCAATATTATGGATTGATAAAAAGGACATGTAGCCAAGTACACTTCATAAAATTTACACCCTCAGAATCTTACAAGCTAATGCAGAAAGGAGTACTTCAAAGAAATGCCAAGCTGGGTATGGAAGCCCTTCATAGTACCCTACAGTCTAACGTTGATATATATATTTGCTTCATCAGAAATGAAAACAAACTAAGAAAAACTCCTGCAAAATTGCTCAAAAGAATAGAACTCAGCCCAGCTGGCGGGCCGTCAAAGAAAGTAGTGCCTTGCCTTGGGCCATCGCATGCCCCATTGCTGTGAGGAAATCCACAGCCCGGTTTGGCAGTTTCTTTCCCTCAAGGTGTGAAGCATGATGGTACACAACTGAAAGCATGACAATAGCTACTGGATATCAGACAGTCTAAGGCTGATTCTGAATGGCCTAACGGTTTGATAGAAAACAAGGGAAAAGTGTTCTTTGGATAAAATGGTGAAATGGTGAAGGAAGGACGCATGAACCCAACAATGGGAATTTTTAACCCTTTGACATCAACAGGAAACAAGCACCAAAACGCAATTTATATAGAATCTACACCCGGAAACTCCTGTACAAAGTCATTTACAGATGCCTACCACCAGATATAATATTTCTAAAATGCAATCACAAACCAGCAATGCCAACCAAAATAGATACAACTAACATGAAAACGAAAAAAATAAAAAATAAAAAACATAATTTTCCACTTCATTTTACACCTATTTGCACCTCATTCATCTTCTCAAAATGAAATTAAACAGAAATCAATACGAACAATCAGCATAAAGAGAACACATCCAAATGCAAGCACAAAAATTATATATTTCAAACGATAACTAAAGCCAATTCATGTAACATCTCATTTTAAACGAGATACCAACAATTAAGAAACCATAAAAGGTCTTCCAAAAAACTTCAACAGGATCAGAAACTAAAAATGACGCTAACCTAAGCAGTGAGGACAACAGCACCACCAGCCTCCTTAATCTTCTTCTCGGCAATCTTGGAGACCAGCTTCGCTTTGACCACGATCGGCTGGTTCTCTGGCAAAACCCCCTTCCCAAGAACCTTGAAGTACCCGAATTGAGTTACGTCGATCATGGGGGCAGCGTCATTGGTGGCTTTCTCCTTAACATCTTGCGGGACGAGAGACCAGAGCTTGTCGATGTTAACGATAGGGCAATAGAACTTGTTGCGGAGCTTGTGGAAGTATCGCATACCGACCTTTCCGAAATACCCAGGGTGGTACTTGTCGAAGAGGATCCTGTGGTGGTGCATGCCTCCAGCATTACCGCGACCACCGGGATGCTTCCGGTGTTTTCCGATACGGCCATGGCCGGCACTCACATGGCCGCGCTTCTTGCGGTTCTTCTTGAAGCGGGTTGTCATTCTGTCTCCCTTTGATCTGGGGTCTCTCTCTGGAGTCTCGACTAGGGTTTGGGCGGCTCAAAGACGAGGGACGGTGGCTAGGGTTTGGGAATTTATTTGGTAGGGGAAATGACGGAATGGGTCGGGCTTCTTGATTTTCTGTTTGGTACTAAAAGATTTTGGGTTCTCGTCCTTTTTTGGTGCTTGAGGAGTTCTGGGCCTTCTGGCCACTGGGTTTTGATTGATGAGCTTCATAATGGTAGCCTGAATTGGGTCCAAGGGAAATGTGGCCACAGATTCACAGCCTGCAGAGCTATTGGCCCAGAGAGGCAAGGAGGAGATACAGGAAAATGGCAAAAATATGAGGAAAACAAATGAGGGAGAAATCAATATGCATGTAGGAAACATAGTCAAACTCAAAGTAAAGTTCATTGGAACTGCTTTTTAAAAATTTCAATGTGGTTGTAATCTTATTTTAGAAAATACTACCATGTACCATCCGTAAAAGAATTAAAACTTTTTCTTAATTCAAATTGTATCAGTGAACGTTTTCTTAGTGATGATTTATATAGACTAAATTTATCTCCAGAAGTTTACCATTTTAACATTGAAAAGACTAGAATCAGAAGAGTTTTGACTAGGAAAAATCTTCTTAGGCCACTAACTAATCCAGATTCGAGCCGTGCAAGACCCAACAGGAGGAAAAATCTTCCTTCTTGTGATGTGAAAGGTTAGCTCATATTTTTAAAGAAAAAAATGTTAGATTGATTAAAATTGAAATTCTTGCTAATTTGGATTTAAATGATTTTATAAGCTGACCAAAACAAGAAAGCATGGTGCTACACGTTTTAGTAGTGTCCTAGAGTTGATTCACATCAATGTTAATAGGTCCTTGTCTCTCACCTTATGCTGCAAAAGATCTTTTGTGACTTTCATTGATGACTTTTCTAGGTATTGACATGTCCACCTAATTGATCAGAAGTCAGTGGCCTTAGACAAGTTTAAATTTTTTAAGACTAAAGTTGAAACATAATTTAGGAACAAGTTTAAATTTCATTTTTAATCGATGATATCTGAGGGACAAGGATCAGCCTTTAATAAGAAAAAGGAATTGAGACTCAATTGAAAATAAGAGAAAGCCATGGCAACTAGTAAGATCACAACACGAACATCTTCCGATTCATCCACACTAGAGGTTTCAAGTTTCAAGTTTCAACTTCTGGGTCTATTCTGCTTCCCCAAAGGATGTCGAAAGGGTGAAGATTAAAGAGTAAGAGCTAGAGCTTCCCTTGGAGATCTTGAGTTTGAACCCTCAAAACGAGTGGGAAGGATTTAGAAGAGGGATTTGGGCGAAGGATTTGAGCTTTCCATGGTCCAATATACACAATAAGAAAGAGGGCTATTCAGCATAATTCATCTTTGTACAGAAGAGGGGCAGCACCAATCAAGCCAAACCATAATAGAACATACATGAATGGAGAATGCTTGTGGCTTATCTTAAAAAGCCTTGAGAAAATGAGGTAGCTTAAGATATAACATAGAATAAATGCCATTATCGTAAATACAAAACAAACAAAATTACCAAAAAACAAACACAATCAGTAAGACTTAAGTTGGCTACAAATTACTCCAGTTCACCACTTTAAGAAAGATCCAGCAAACAGCATGGGACAGCATTAGAAGCCTAAAATTAATCTATCAGTTACTCCCATTTTAGTTTAAAAAGCACTCCTACAGACTTTTTAGTTTCCCATCATGACTAAATCCAGGCCTCTCTAGTACCTAGAATGCAGTTTATTTGAAATGTTAAGAATGCAAGACATGTCTAATCCATATATTCTGAATCTACAAGCCACCAGGCAAAAGCATCTAAGAAGAACCATCATATTCGTCCCAAAACTAAACCTGTCTTCATCTACCCAAAAAAATTCTTTTAATCAACTAAACCACCAATGACAAAAAAAGAGAACTCAATAGTCGAATTTGCAGAAGATATGCAGTAAAGGCGCATGCTAGAAAAATGCACAAGCAAGCTACCAAATACTAAGATCCTGCAAAACATAATTTAGGCGTATTTTTTTCCACCTACATTGCATACTTCATTCAACTTCAAAATTAAACTACAACATAAAAAGGCCGATAACATCAAGAAAATATCTCAAATTAAGCATAAATATGCATTTTGTAAAGCAAAAACTAAGAGCAGCCATTGAATATCTCAGTTTAATAAACTCCCAATAATGAAAATGAAAGTTTTTCAATAACTTCAACAAGATCAAAAACTGAAATCGACCCTAACCTAAGCAGTGAGCACAACAGCACCACCGGCCTCCTTAATCTTCTTCTCAGCAATCTTTGACACCAACTTAGCTTTCACCACGATCGGCTGGTTCTCCGGCAAGACCCCCTTTCCGAGAACCTTAAAGTATCCAAACTGGGTCACATCGATCATCGGGACAGAATCCTTGGTGGCCTTTCCCTTGACTTCATTTGGGACTAGCGACCACAGCTTGTCAATGTTGACGATGGGGCAGTAGAACTTGTTCCGAAGCTTGTGGAAGTATCGCATACCGACCTTTCCGAAATACCCGGGATGGTACTTGTCCAAGAGGATACGATGGTGGTGCATGCCTCCGGCGTTACCACGACCACCGGGGTGCTTGCGGTGCTTACCGATACGGCCATGACCGGCGCTCACGTGGCCACGCTTCTTGCGGTTCTTCTTGAAGCGGGTCGTCATTCTGCTTCTCCTGGATCTGGTGCTCTCTCTGGTACGACTTGAGCGGCTGAGAGACGAAAGAGAAAGACTAGGGTTTGGGGAATTTATTCGGTGGAGGAAGTGTGGGATTTTACGTTTCCTGTCTTGCCCTCAAGGGTTTGGTGTTTTACGGGTTATCCAGGGGTTTTGGGTTTTGATTGATGGGCTCACTAAGGGGGCCTGAAACTGAATTGGACCGAGGATTCTGCGAGATTCCGGAGGCATCTCTACTTTTTCTTTTCTTTTTTCTTTTTTTTTTTTTTTTGTTTCTATGCTTTTCCGAAGGATTGTCCGAACAGCAAAACAGAATTGTCAGTTTTTAATATCAAGAAATCCCCTCATCCAATAGTTTTTATTGTGCAAGTTAGATTACTTAATAATCTTTTTTTATTAACATATTGTTTACAATTTAATACAATCCCAAAAAATACAACTCAATTTGAAAATCATCAGTTCTAAGAGAATACTTTTTAATATTAAGAAGTGTCTCTCATCCAATAGTTTTTATTGTGCAAGTTATATTACTCAATAATTTTTCATTTTTTATTATCATATTGCTTACAGTTTGGTACAGTGCAAAAAAATGTAACTCAATTTGAAAATCATTAGCTCTTTTTTTTTTTCGATTTCCCGTCTGATATCCGGGGCTTCGCCTCGACTATTTCGGATTCGACCCGCGTCGCGCACTTGGAAATGGTGGGTGAGTCTCTTAGCGAGGGCTGCTGCGTTCACAAGGTTTCGAATTCGATATCTTACTTAAACTGGAACAAGCCGCTTACCACTTGATCCAACCCCTCGTTAGTGAAAATCATTAGCTCTTAATGAAAGGAAAATAGCATAATGCTACAAGTATTAGATCATTTGAACTTTCAAAATGGGGTTCTCAATCCCAGTATTGTAAACTTATAGTAATTGCTTCTTCTACCAACAAAATGTATTCTTATTTGGGGCATTTGATGTTACCAGATTAGATTCAAGTGGAATCCATTAGCGAGAGAGAGCCAGTATTTGGCAGCAGACGGAGATGATACCGGAAGCAAAATCAATATGGTGGAATGTGATGGAAGCATCCTTAATCACATTCACAAACTGGAGCATGAAGGTCAGCAAGAAAGGCTTCCTTTGTGTAGGATCGGTTTTCTATAACATCCAGAACTGAAACTCAACTGATAATCATGGATTGATAAAATCATGATGCAAACACATTTTCTGCTTCATGTACGTAATATGATGTTATATAGACAATGACTTAAATATTATTAAGTTAAGAACTGAACAAATAATTAAATGAATACATCGTGGTTTAACAATTACAGGATTGTCTAATTCTGCAAAATTCATCTTTGTTGAAGGAGAGCAGCTCCCACCAAGCCAAACCATAGGGTTAAAGCAAACCAAAAAGCCCGGTTCCTCTCCAATCCAACTGGAGGTCGCCACATCAAAAAGTCAAAAAGCTCTCCTAGAAAGTCTCTGGAAGGTGGAGGTTGATTTGCTGTTGATCCATTTCTCCTTTTATACCAATTCTTGTATTTGTATTTATCTTTATCAATCCATACCGTCCCATAGCTGCAAATACAATCATATACGTGTCAAACTATTCAACTTGCTCCAAAGTCATATTTCACACGTGACATTCGGGCAGATATTTTATGAATTTAAACAGTCAGGTATCTAAAATTTACAACAGAGCCAGCCAAGATCAAAGAAATAAGCTAGTGACAAGAAATTAAGAGAATGGTCAAGAATCCAGGGTTTTCTTCCACTCTAATAGATGGGGAAATGTGGATTAAGAATTTATATTTAGTTTGCTCAGCAATAAAGCATCACTGAAATATTCAGTCTAGTCCTGAATTTTGGTCCTGATTGAAAGAACTCTACTATCAAGGACAAGATACAGAGAGTCCACATCACACCATATACCAACTACACAGCAGCTGCTGTTACCTCAGTCTTCAGAAGTGACTAGAACTATATTACCACTGGACATATGTATCGTCAACCACATTTGGCCAGAATTTTTGGTACGCTCAATATTTTTCCTTTCAGTTTGCTAATCAAACCAGAAAAAAAAAAAAACCGGTTTCCCGTTAGATTGTTGGAATCTTAACCCAAAAGGTGATCTATTGACCATTGAGCAACCAGGTAGAAAGTAAAGACACGCTCTGTCAATTAACCAAGTCCAAAAGTTTGATAAGCAAGCAAATGTCATTGATTTGTATTATAATTCTTCTATGGTTGGAGAAATTTCCAGATATGAGAAATATGCATAAAGGGGTTATCTCATGGAAAATTCATTAAGCAAACAAAAAGTTAAGAAACAACGAAGTTTGTAATACCTATTATTGCAAAAACTTCTGCATTATAGTTCAATGGTTGGAATGTTGAAGCAATTGGCTAAAGTGATTAAATAACATACCCATCATAGCTGTCATAACTAGTAATTGTCGGGATTGTAACCATCTCCTCCTGTGTTATCTTGATCTTAGGTGCTTGGTAGATGTAGCGAAGATCAGCAGCCTGACGTCGGATGCTCACATTGGGGTGCATCTCCTCCAATTGCAGATAAAGCTCAATGCAATCTGCATGGCGATTATTCGCTTCATAAGCCATGGCAAGCCATATTTGTATCTGAAAACCAAAAATTACGACTTTCTTATTACTTCTGTAAACAATGCCTGATAACAGAAACGGTTCACTCTATCAAAATTATAAAGCATCAACCAACCTCACCCCCAAATAATGAAGGCCTTGGAATGATTGTGAGTGCACCTTCAAGAAATTCAATAGAACGTCTGTACATGCCCTTTCCATAAGCCTTTTGACCCAGTTCAAACATCAATTTTGCTGTTGCTCTCCTCTCTGCCTGCTCCTGAGCTGCCTGTCCTCACAGAATATCAAATGTGTGATCACTTTGCAATTCAAGCAATTTGCAATAACACTAACAAAACCAATCGTGCTCAATTATAGAACAATTCCAAGCAATTTGAATCTTACATTTAGAAATTAGTTGCATTTTTTTTTTTTAATGATGAACAAATAGAAAAGAAAAGAAAGCTTAAGTGGAAATTTAGGAAGAAGACCTTCTCGAGCTCTTTTCTCACTCTCAACATCTTCTGCTCCTCTGTCAATTCTTTACCATCACCTTCACCTTCCTCTGCCTCTGCCTTTTTTAGCAACTCCTCAGCCTTCGTCTCCAACTCCTCCTTCTCCTCAATCTCCTTCAATCTCTTCCTCATTTCCTTCTCCCAGTCGTACCTCGCCTCTTCCTCCTCAAACCCATTACCGTTTCCCTCATCGTCACTGTTCTCCGCGTTGAAATCTACTGCGTTTGCTTTCGAATTTGCTTTGCCACGAGCCACAAGTCGGTGAGCCCTAGCCTCACCGTCCGACTCCCTCTTCGGCAGGTGTAAACCAACGTCGACCGCAACGGGACGAGATTTCCGGTCCGTCGATACAATCCTCGGCGAGGCTACGTCAGGTAATGACGCTAAATTTCCAAGAACTACAGCCATGATGTCGCCTGAGAAAGATAGAGAAAGGCAGAGGTTAAAGTGAGCAATTCAGCTACAGCTGATTCCCGGTGAAGATATTTCGTTGATACTGTTGTGAAGACTAAATTACCCTTCAATTTACCGAAATTTACAAATCAGTTAAAGATGATTGTGCAACAGGCGAGGGTAATATCGTCTAAAAGAAAATTAAAATGGCGCATTATGACGCGTGTCGTGTGCGGAAACCGTTGCGGACTCCCGGAAGCAGGAGGCTGATTGATTCAATTCAAACACGTCACTTCGAACATCCCAGCGTATCACTGTCGTTCGATCTAACGGAATCCGATTAGATTCGATTCAACGGCCACTCAAATCAGATGGTGAGGGAGGGAGAGGCCGCCGAGGGGGTAAACAGAGTCGTTCAATTTAAAACCAAGGGCCTTCTTCGGTTAGAGGACACTTTACGCAAAGTTTTTTTGGTATTGTATAAAATGTTAAAAACGTATAATATTTAAAATTATTAAATTTTGTAATAAATTTTTTTAGAAAATAAATTAAGTGGTTTTACTTTTACTTGCAAGAAAAGAGAGTAAAGAGATATTATATAGATTTGAACGTTAATTAATGGATAAGAAAATCTTTTACATTTAAATATGTAGATAATGGCAATAAGGTGTTCCTCAATTTTACAATGATTTTTTATTAAAATTTTATTGGATTATTAATTTTGTTATGTTTGATAAAAAAATTAATATAAAAAAGTTAATTTGGAAAATTGTTAAGTAAAGTTAATATAAAACAATTATAGAAAAACTTTTTTTTTCAAAATAATTAAAAAAAAACTATACATATTGAAAATTTATGTCAAAAAAATAAATACTCATAATGTCATTTCTTATCTTTATTTTATTGTAATATTAATATGTAAACTACATCAACAACCTTATAAAAAAAAGTTTAAAAAAGTTTAACCCCCCAACTGTTGAATACACAAATAATTCGTAATGTTAGATTTATAGTATATTTAGTTTAAAAGAAGAGAAAATGTAAAAATTTTTCAATCTAATTAAAAAATAATTAAAGGAAAGAAATGGAAGAAAATGGAAAGATTATCCTTCCATTTCCTCTCTCTCCTCCTTTTTTTTTTCCCCTCCCTCCTTTTTTTCTTTTAACTAAATCATGGTACAAGAAATTAATTACTGTGTATTTCTTTAAATACATTAAATTGATCTCAAGTCACATAATGAAATAGTAATGATATAAAAATAATATAACTATAATATTTGTTAATATTATAAATTTAAAATATAGCATATCATAATATAATTAATTTTATTTATCAAAAAAATATATATTTATTTTAATAATATATTATATTTATTTAATGGTACATATACTCATTATAGTTGTAATTGTTAATTTTTTTTTATCATTTAACATCTCAAAATTATATAAAAAATATATTTAATCTATTTAATGTTTATTTTAATTATCATTTTATGTATTTTTAAAATTAAAATAAAAAATAAAAACCAACGACTAAAATATTGAATGAAAGAGTATTTTGAAAGGAAACCATGGCCAGTAACTAGAATATTGCGGGTGGGGACACGGCATCGGAAGTCTCGAACGCGCACTTTCCACGCGCCCTCACGCTCCAGTCGTGGCATAACTAGTGAGTCCTCTACGTAAATTCCTAAACGGTGGCGCTTTTGCAGCTCATGGTTGGACCAGAAACTGCGATTTTGAATTGAACTCGTGGTTTTATCCCCACGCGCCTCCATCCATCGCCGTATTCATGGCTCAGCTTCTTTGTTCTAACTCAACGATACCGCCGCGGTTTCCCAGTGCCTCTCGTTTTCATTCTAAACACCGCCACTTTCACCATCAGAATCTCCGATTCTTCACAAGTAGAGATGCTTCAATTTCCTCTTATGGTAAAAGAAGGGACCACTACTCTCCTGTAAAAGCATCTTCCATTAATGGATTCTCTGTGGAGAAAATTTTCGAACGGTATGAGGAAGAGCAGAGTGAGCGGGATGTTGAGCTCGGGGAGAGAATTCGGAAATGGATTGATTTTCTCCGATCGGTGTTGCCGGGAGGGAGTTGGTGGAGCTTCTCCGATGAAGTGGAGATTAAAATGATGGCGAAACCCGTGACGTTGTGGCGGGCGCTTGGTCGGATGTGGGGGCTGGTTTCCAAGGACCGTTGGGTTATTTTCGCTGCCTTCTCCACTCTGATTGTGGCTGCTGTAAGTGTTTCTGCAATTTTCTATGTTAAAGGTGCAATTTGATTGATTTCTCAAATGGATTTTATTGTGTTTACCGAGTTGTGTGTGTATTGGTTTAGCTTTCAGAAATATCGATACCGCATTACTTGACAGCTTCAATCTTCTCAGCACAGAGTAGTGAAATTGCAGTGTTTCGCCAGAATGTACGGCTTCTGGTTCTGCTATGCGTTGTTGCAGGAATATGCAGGTTAAAATCTCGTATGGTCAAATCTCCAAGCTTCTCAGTTATAGCAGGATTTATGATTTCCCCTGCTTGTATCTAAGCAGGGACGGTTTGAACCTTCTTGATGCACAATGTCACAACTGCTGACTTTCTTTTTGTTTATCTGAACTTCAGTGGTATAAGAGGATGCTGTTTCGGGATTGCAAATATGATCCTGGTGAGTTCTCTTATTATTAGTTTCCTAGAAAAATCATGGATTGTGTATCTGTAAGCAGAAAATCAAAAGGAAGGAGAAATTAGTAGAACAAAAAGTTAAAAAAAAAAAAAAGGAAAAGGAAAAAAAGAGACTAATTCAAATAATTACAGGGAGTCGTCTTCCTTCTTTTTACTAGTTTTCAACACAGAAAAGGTGTTTTCCTTTGCTTGTATCAAAATAATAATAGTTCTTCATCCTATTGTTCAAAGATTCCTATTCTTAGTTTAGATTTTTCCAGATTTTCCTTTTACATTTACTTGTTAGTTATTAGATTTAGAAGACTTAATAAGTGTAAATTAAGTAATGGACAAACAAAAAAGGGAAGGAATCCTTTTGAGAAAAAAGAATCACTGCAATGAACTTTAAAAAAAAACTTGGAAATTAAAAAAAAAAAGATCTTTTTTTTTTATGAAACATAGAGGAAAAGTGTTCAATTTGTTGTCATTTATACAAACAAAAAAAGAGTTGTCTTAAAAATTCAAATTCAATGGGACCCTTCCCTGTGAATCAAACAAGGAAAAAGGAGTTGCGCCCCATTGAGTTCTTACACTTTCATGTCTACAACTTTGTTCATCTGATTATTAAAGGGACGAGCCTAACCCAAAATATGAACCATAAAAGAAAATCCTGTTAAACCAATCACAGGAATACCAACTAACGTACCAATAGCTAGAGATGTTGTCTGGATATGTTCTGCTATTGAAAATTGCTTGCTGGGTTCAAAGAAGAAATTTTTGGTGACTAGAGATATCCTATCCGCTGAGCATTTTGTGAGTTTAAACTGGAATCACCCAACATTGACATGCTTTGCCTGTTCATTGGCTGTGGTATTTGGAGGATAGTTTTTTAAAACCTTGGAGGAATCATCATTCAGTTTTCTCCCCTCCTTTTCTGTTTTAGAATAACTTCAAGGATGAAAATATCTTATTCTAATTGGAATTTGATTCTTTGCTGATTGATTTCTATAACATCTTCAGGTGAAGCGGATGAGGGAAACACTGTATTCTGCTCTTCTTCTTCAGGTTCTGAGATATGTAGAAATGACTTTATATGGATATGCTAACCATTAAGCAAGTATGCCTATATTTACTTATTTTAAATGGTACATAAATTTTGATTTGTTTCTGAGTTACATGTTTTGTAGGATATATCGTTTTTTGATGGTGAAACAGTTGGTGATTTGACCAGTAGGCTCGGTTCAGATTGTCAACAAGTGTCACGTGTTATTGGAAATGATCTTAATTTCATATTACGCAACCTTCTCCAGGTTTTCTTCCTGATCAAATAATTAATCTCTCTGAATTTTCTCTAAGCATAAGAGTCTTATTATTGCTTCATTTTTCTTCTAGGGGACAGGCGCTTTGATCTACTTGCTAATTTTGTCATGGCCACTTGGTTTATGTACGTTGGCAATATGCTCTACTTTAGCTGCAGTTATGCTGATCTATGGCGTGTAAGTTATATGAAAATTTGTCAATCTAAACTTCCAGCAGCTTAAATTGTATGGCTATAGTATAAAACAACCATATAAAATAAATAGAACATTTCAAGTGGATGTTCAACATGGCAAGGGTTAGTATTTTGTAAGAGGATTTGTTTGAAAGTTGTTACTTGTTTAATTAGATATAATTCAGTACATGTAATGGGTATAGGTTTTAAATGGCAGACCTAGAGACTGGGAGCTGTGATTTAAAAAAAATAGTGTGCTTCCTTTGTACTTGCTCTCAGATGTGACACAAAACTATTTAATGCAAGGGTAAAATAATATATACCATCTAATGTTTGATTATCAGGTAAATTGATGTTGTAAACAATGTCTAAACCCATTTTTTGGAATAACATTTTCATTATGTCTGCCTATGTAGGTACCAGAAGAAGGCAGCTAAGTTAATCCAAGAGTTCACTGCTTCTGCAAATGAGGTTGAATGAAAAACTTCATATATTGTTCTCCTTTTCTTTTTTTTTTTAATCCTCATGGATCATATTTAATAGGAAATACTTCTGATTTTTATTCTCTAGGTAGCACAAGAAACATTTTCTTTAATGAGAACTGTTCGCGTCTATGGAACAGAGAAACGGGAGTTAAAAAGGTCATTTATTCTTCTAGTTTTCATCACTTTTATTTCTTATCTATTTTCTGCTTAATTTTCCGTGATGCAGGGAAAGATATTTAATCTGTTTACCTTTTTCAGGTACCAACATTGGTTGGAAAAGTTGGCTGATATAAGCTTGCGACAAAGTGCTGCATTTGGATGTTGGAACCTGAGCTTCAACACTCTTTATCACTCAACTCAGGTTTACAACCCCTATTTTCACTCCCAAAAGAAAAAGACCAGTGAAAAGAAAGAGTTCCAAAGTTGCTTCTGTTCTTGTTGAAACAATTTTTGTCTTTTACATGCAGATTATTGCTGTGCTGATCGGAGGGATGTCCATTCTGGCTGGTCACATAACAGCAGAAAAACTTACCAAGTTTATATTATATAGTGAATGGTTGATATATTCAACTTGGTGGGTGGGGGATAATGTGTCATCTTTGATGCAATCTGTCGGGGCAAGTGAAAAGGTCTTTCAGTTGATGGATTTGATGCCCAGTGATCAATTCAAGTCAAAAGGCAAGCATTTTATTTATCTGTTGGAGTCTTTGAAATTAATTTCTTCTTCTTCTTTTTATGTTGCTCTTTTCATGAGTTCTTTGATTTATTTATCAATCATCATTAAGGAGACTTTAGCATTAAACTTCACATGCATGTGATATGGCCAACTTCACTTTTACTATATTGATGTTCTTCAAAATTTTGGAAGATGATGTTTTATCAAGAAATTGTACGAGTATGATTGGACATTGAGGGTGATAGATCAATTTATTTTTCCAATTGGTAACTGCTTTTGCAAGCCCTTACGCTACTTTCTTACAGGGAAGAAGTTGCAAAGGCTGTCTGGACATATAGAGTTTGTAAATGTTTCTTTTTATTATCCCTCAAGAGTAATGGTATGTTTCCTCTCAACTTTACAAATACTCTGTATGATGCTTCCTTTTTGATCTCCTAGCATGATCTACCTTGAATAAATAGTTTTAGAGCCAGACAGCAGCATTTGGATACGGTGGTTGTATGTTTCTTATAGTTCAGCTAACACTCTAGCAAGTAGTCATACTACCTTTGGCAAAAACAATACTAACACCAATTGCTTCTTTTCATTTAGGCTTTAGATTTTGGAGTGGAGGTGGGGTGGTGTACAGCTTAGATTTTTGAGAGACCAAGCAAACAGGAGAAAGAAAAAAAAGAAAAAATTTCTAGTGCAGCAGTTACAATTTTGCTGAATTAATAGTGTTTCTAAAAATTTGTAATGGAACTTATAAGATGTTTGTATTCAGTGATTCAGTGATTCTTGAGTTGCCTTCATTATCCCCTTATTATTGGTTTTGTGAATATATATCTTCTAAAATATTACTTCAGAAAAAAACAATCAATTGTTAGACATTTCTGCAGGTACCTGTTCTGCAACAAATGAACATTTCAATCTACCCTAGTGAAGTAATTGCAGTAGTAAGTATTTGTAGACTATTATGAATTTTCTTGTTTCCACCAAATTTGGAAATAATCTGCCATCTTAATCTTGATTAGGTTGGTCTTAGTGGTAGTGGAAAAAGCACACTGGTAAATCTATTGCTCCGTCTTTATGAGCCAACAAATGGTCAGGTAAAATTGTTCTCTTGACTTATTCATGACATTGGAGGCTCTGATATTTTGACTGTTGCCCAATTTATTAATTGAAGAAAACATGCCAAAATAAACCCAAAGTTTGTTTATAAGCTCTACATTTTAGTTTGATTATCCATAGTAAGCTTTCCTTTTTAGCATTTAAGTACTGGTTCATGTTATAGCTAGCATCACTGACAATTCTTTTTTTTTTTTGGGCCAATCACCAACTACTTTTCCATCATAGTATTTGTGTTTGAAGTTGCATATAAATTCATCTACAGTTGCAAAAGAGATAATAGGGGTTCTTCACACCAAGGTCAATCCCAAGTCCATCATAAACTGCCCGAGATATGAAAGGAAAAGAAAGAAAAACTTCAAAACTGCAAAACCGTCTTACTGGTTTCTGTGAAGTTTATCTGCTTAAGTTGTCTTCTTTACCTTTCATATTGTTTGCTTTGCCTTTTAAAAAATAATAATAAAAAAATAAAATAAAATCCTTTTTGCTTATTTATCTGTACACTATTCATTAGTTGGAAATTGCATTTTTAATTTTGCTTTGCAATCCTTTCAAGTTTTTGTCCAGGTATTCAGTGTATGACATACTACACCAAAGTTTTCTTTTAACAATTGTAAATTCTGGCAGACAGCTTCTCTTTTTGGAGGGCAAATGAGTAATGACAAGTAATTTTTTGTTCATGTTTGCTTCTCTGCTTGCAGATTTTAGTTGATGGCTTCCCACTCAGTGAATTGGACATCCAGTGGTTGAGGGGGAAAATAGGTTATGTGGGACAGGTCCTCCTCTACATCTTGTGTCACATAGTTTTGGTAAATTGATAGATCTTTTCTGCTAATATGTGCTCTTCTGACAGGAACCAAAACTTTTCCGCATGGATATTAGTTCAAACATTAAATATGGATGTACCAGAGATATAAAGCAAGAGGATGTTGAATGGGCTGCCAAGCAGGCATTTGCTCATGACTTCATCACAGCCCTGCCCCATGGTTATAACACAATTGTTGATGATGATTTGCTCAGTGGGGGACAGAAGCAGAGAATTGCCATTGCTCGAGCCATTCTTAGGGACCCTACCATTCTGATCCTTGATGAAGCTACCAGTGCCCTCGATGCAGAGAGTGAACACAATGTGAAGGTAGCTTCTTTTCTTAATCTTGAGATTGGCATGGATCATAGGAAGCCATTTCTCTCCTGCATCTGATATATTAAATATGCCACTCTATCCAGGGTGTTCTTCGTGCTCTCAAAAATGACTCAACTACAAAAAGAACTGTCATAGTAATTGCACACAGGTAAGTTTTCAATTACCCTTTCTTTATGTGTCTCAATTCTGAGTCTGAAGTCTCATGTAACCATGCTATAAGCTTCCTACAGGCTTTCTACAATTCAAGCTGCCGACAGGATAGTGGTGATGGATGGAGGTCAAATTGTTGAGGTTGGCGCTACCTTTACCATGAATCACGACTTTAGCTGTTCATACCTGTTTTCTTCTCTGTTTTTCTCGCCATTCAAAAGCAACACCTGCACTAAAAAAACACCTCCTATATAACTTTTGTTCCTGCTTGTAGATGGGCAGCCACAGGGAGCTTCTTCGGAAGGATGGCTTATATGCGCAATTGACAAGAAGACAGATTGACGCCGTAATATGATACTGCTAATCACACATTAGAAGTGCTGTTGTAGCTTAATATTCTTTCAACTTAGTTATCACATATACAACATAGAAGTCGAAGCAATTTTTTCCGGACATGGGGGAGGATCAACGATGCTACCTCAAGGACTCTGCGCAAAAGCAGCAACAAAACTCTCCTACTTCAATTTAGGCATGAGATACACATGGAATTTGTGTAGTCAACAATGAAAATACAACCACAACTGTTGTTAATTGTATTGATTATTAACGTATTATTACAAATAGGGGTTTTTTTAATATCTTGAAAGTATAAAAATTGATATTTAATTTATTAGTTATTTAAGTAAATTTATTTCAATGACAATAATATTGAAATTGATGTTAATTTTTATATTTTTTTATATAAATTTATGATTAAAAAAAGTACACTTCGGGCACAAGTTAATAAAACTCCTACAAATATTTTTGAAAAATTAAATCAATTATTTTTAATTTCATTTGAAAATTTTTCTTATTCTTTTTTTTTTCTCCCAATTGTTTTTGAAAGTGGAATTTGTTTACCTTATGGTATTTTTTGTTTGAGGTAAATGCAGAGGGAGAGAAATTCGATATTAGAAAAATGTACATTTCCTTCCCTTTCATTTGATTAAGTCAAAATGAATTAAGGAATTGAATTTTTTTTTTTTAATGAGAAAGGAATTGAATTAAAATATAATGTAAAAGAAGTTTCTCCTCTTCCCTCCTATCTAAATATTTTTTTAACTAAACAAAAAAATTATTTTTCTTTTTCTCTCTCACTCTTTTTTTCTCTTAAAACAAATATATGTTATAATTATTTAATTTAATATCTCTATTATAAAAATGGATAAAATTGACATATTCACTATTTTTTTTGGGGGGGGGGGGCTTGCCCACCACAATTTTGATAAGCTTATCCCCCTACTCGCTTCACCTCAATCACCACCCCTAGTGATATCTCTTATCTCCCCTCATTTGGCTAAAATGAACAAAAGGAAAAGGAATTGAAAGAAAAATAAATAAATATATAAAGCTTTATTCCTTCCCTCCTTTCCAAGTTTTGTTAGTAATTAAATAAAAAAATTTGCTCAGTGTCTCCTCCATTTTTCTCTATTTAACCCTCTATATAAACATAATCCTTGATAAACATAATCTTAAGGATGGAATTAGATCTCTAACTCTATTTTAAGGACTTGAATCTCATATTCTTAATTATTAAAAATATTTAAAATTTGGATTTCTAATTAAAATCTTTTTAAAATGCTTAACAAATTAAAATACTATTTAAAACACATAAATCTATAATTTTTGAGGCCTAATCTCGTGAGTTACATATTTTTATTGAAAAATGATTTAAAAATAATTTTTATATTATTTTT